GCACATCATCGTCCATGTGCTCTCTCTCTTCTTAATCATCTTTTATGGATGGTAGAAGCATACTGTTGCCCACATTTTTTCTCTCTCCTCTTAGTCTCTGTCATGGACGGCGAAAGCACATCGTCGACCATATTTTCTCTTTTCTCTTAATTTTATGTCATGGACGGTGGAAGCACATCACCACTCATGTTTTCTCTTTCTTCTTAATCATTTTTCATGGATGGCGAAAGCATATCGCTACCGATGTATTCTCTCTCTTCTCTCATTCTTCTGTCATGAAAGGCGGAAGCACATCGCCACCCATGTATTCTCTCTATTCTCTCATTCTTCTGTCATGGACTGCGGAAGCACATCGCGGCCCATGTTTTCTCTCTTTTCTCTCATTCTTTTATCACGGACGGTGGAGGCTCATTGCTGCCTGTGTTTTCTCTCTCTTCTTACCCTTCCGTCATGGGCGGGGAGAGTTCATCGCCCTCCATGTTCTTTCCTATCTTTTCTCTCATCGCCGCCCATGTTCCCTTGCTCTCTTCTCTCTCCTTCTTCATTCTTCATTCTTTTTCTTATCTTTCCTCTTTCCATTTTTCCTTTCTCCTCATTGCTTATCTCGTCTTCTTCTCACATGCACGACATCTGTAGTATTATGCATGTTCCTCTTTCTCTCTCTTCTTTCTTATCTTCTCTTTATTTCTCTCTCCTCCTCATTTCTTTCCCTTTCTCTCTCCTTTTTCCTTTTCTCTCTCTTCCTCTTCTTTCTCTCTCCTCTTCTTCTTTGTCTCTCTTCTCTTCCTCTTTCTTTCTCTCTCTTCACTCAACATGCACAGTAGTGGCCCATTGTTATGCATGTCTTTCATTCCCTTCTTCTTTTTCTCCGCTCTTTCTTTAATCATCCTCCTTTCCTTCATAATCTTTCCTCTCTCTTTCTTGATCTTCTTTCTTCACTTTCCTTTTTTCTCTTTTTTCCTTCCTTTCTCTTGCCTCTTTTTCTTAATCTCTCTCTTCTTTCTTTATCCCTATTTCTTTTTTTCTCTTTCTTCTCCATTCATGCATGAAGGATCCTATCGTTGGGTATGATATCCTCCTCCTGAAACATGCACAGTGAGCCGAGTCCTGACCTGGGTGGCGGGCCGGGCCTCTGTCCTAGTTCTTCAAGCCCCATGTCGCACACGACAATGCTCATCGCTGTGTATGACATTCATTATCCTAAACCCTCACAAGGACATTGATCCGAGCCCTTTTTCGAGTAACGGGCCGGGTCGTGTCTGGGTCCCTTTCGACACGCACAACGATGGCTATCGTTGTGCATGTTTTTTTTCTTTTCTCTTCTCTCTTTCGCCTCTTTCCCTTGTCATGAAGAGAAGAACCCATCGTCGTTCATGTTCTCTTTCTCTCTCCCTTTCCTGTCATGGACGGTGGGATTTCATCACCGTCTATGCTTTTGTTTTTCTTCTCTCTCCTCTGTGATGGACGTCTGAACCCCATTACCGTCCATGTTTCTTTTCCCTCTCTCTTTTCTCTGTCATGAACTGTGGAACCCCATCGCTGTCCATGTTTCTTTTTCCTCTCTCTCTCCTTTGTCATGGACGGCAGAACCCCATCGTTGTCCATGTTCTTTTTCTTTCTCCCTTTCCTGTCACGGATGGCGGAACCCTCATCACCGTCCATGCTTCCTCCCCTTTCTCTCTCCTCTGTCATGGATGGTGAAACCCCATCGCCGACCTTGTTTCTTTTTCCTTTTTCCCCCTCTATCATGAACGGTGGGATCTCATCGCCATCCATGTTTATCTTCCTTTATCTCTCTTCTCCTCTTTCTGTCTTCTTCCTTCTCGCTCTTCTTTCTTCGTTCTTTCTTTTCTTTCAACCCCTTCTCCCTTCTCTCTTCTCCCTACTTTTCTTTCTTCTCATCTTCTTCTCTCTTCCCTTTCTTCTTTCTCTCTTCTAGTCCGTGCCTCTCTTCTTTTTCTCTCTCTTATGTCTTCTCTCTTAACCTCTTATCTTATTTTTTTCCCTCTTCTCTTCTCTTCTTATTCTTTCTCTTTCTTTCTTCTCTCTTATCTCTCTTTCTTTTCTCTTCTCCTTTCTTCTCTTTCTTTCTTCTCTCTCGTTTGACCAAGAGACAGGCTAAGTCTACCACTATCATAGTAGTCTTATCGACGAGCAGTATTACCGTCCTGCCAATTTGAGTTATCTTGCCCGTCATGCTACCACAATAGGCTAGCCATCGTACCGGGTTGGTCGGTGCTCGTTCTAACGATGAATAGTATTGCCACCGTGTTAGTCTGAGTTATCGTGCCCGTCTTGCTACCATGCCGGGTCAATCACCTACTGGTCTAGCCACTATGTCAGTTTAGCCACCTGCTCAAATTCTTCTCTTCCCTTTCTTCTATTCCATCTCTTTCTTCTCCTTTCATCACCCCAATCTCTATCCCATTACTCTTTCCTTCTTCTTTTGATTGCACATGCCTATGTGCATTAACCCAAAGACAAGGTGGGGTCCCTTGGCCCACTTGTCTTGTAAAATTAACCATGCGTGTGTGATCATAGAAACATGAGATACAGGTCAAGGAAGGTGATTTCGAACCAGTTGAAGTACTAAGGGGCTTTTCGTCGTGATTTAAGAGGGCACCCACGTGAGTCAGTCCGAGTGAGTAACGAACCTAGGTAAGGTATGTCCCGTCTCACATCAAATTCCTCTCTCATCGGTTGGGATACCTGCCCTTGTTTTCTTATAAGGTTCTAGAGAGTGCGATCTCAAGTTCTGAGTTCTCCTTAAAACCTGAGACATTTGCCACTAGGTCATCTCGGCCTTGAGGGCGAGATCGAGGCATCTAACCAATGAGCATAGGGAGAACTCTAGCTAGCGGCAGTGGAAAGGGAGGATTGTATGCACTTAAAGAAGTGAATCAAACTTGATTGTCCATAAGAAATAAATAACATCAGCAGATGTGTGGCATCAAGGTCTTGGACATTCTGAAAATAAAGTTGTTCATTTATTAGAATCGAAACAGTTGATTAATGTTGATGTATGGAATAAATCTCATTATGTTTGTGATAGTTGTCAAATGGGAAAAAGTTATAAGCTTGTAAGCTTCGGTTTAGCAGTGTTGATAAAACCTCCACTGAGCCTCTCTTTAAGATTCATTCAGACTCACGGGGCCCTGCTTCAATATTATCTAATCATAGTTATTGATTTTGTGTTGTTTGTTGATAATTATATTCGTTTTATTTGAATTTATCCAAAAAAAAAAACATCTGAATTTTGTGTTGAATTTACAAAATTAAATAAGATGGTTGACATTCAAGTTTTTCAATATGATGGAGGTGATGAATTTGCTAAGAAAGAATTTATTTCTCATCTTAATGATAATGGAATCATGCAACAAAATTTATAGCTCATCTTAATGATAATGGAATCATGCAACAATTATCATGTCCAAGAACCCCTGAGCACAATGGAATAGCTGAAAGGAAATATAAAAATATTGTAGAATTAGGCCTTACAAATATGTTTTATACAGGAATTCCAAAACCTTTTTAGGTTGAAGCATTTCATACTGCAGTATATGTTTTCAACAAAATTCCCTCTACTAGTTTAAAAATGGATTCACTATACTCATTATTGTTTGGATGCTTACCAGACTACTCCTCACTCCGAGCATTAAATTGTCGGTCTTTCTCATATCTTCTAGACTATGCCACAAACAAATTTATTCCCCGGTTTCTTCCATGTGTATCTTGGGCTATAGTGTCTAGCATAAGGGCTACAGATGTCTGCATCCACCTACAGGATGTGTTTATATCTTTAGACATGTTGTATTTAATGAAAATATATTTCCTTATGCTAACCCCAATTCTTTGTTAAATAATGCTCAGATTTAGAGGGAGTTGTCCACTTATGTAGAATGGTTAGACTGTTATGAGGCTGACTTACAGACCCCTTCCTCTTCTGGTTCATCAGCTCCCCATGACCCACCCATATGGGATGCCCTTGATGTATCTAGTCCCTCAAGTCCTTCTTTGCCCATCGCCAATAACAGCTTTCCAACTTCTGTTGTAGAGGGAGATTTCACCATTGCAACACTAATCCAAGATGTCCAGGATGATGCAATATGTAATCATGATGATAAAAATATTGTCAATCAAGAAACCAACCAATCTAATTTTTTACCATCCTCTGAGCATCATCGTCATCACATGGTCATAAAATCTCAATATGGTATTTGTAGACCTTGGATTCTCCCATCCATGGCAGCAATCTCAAGTTCTCCTACTTTTGAAGCTATCCCTTCTGAACCTAAAACCATTAAGTCTGCCTTGGGTCATCCGGGATGGCATCATGCGAAGGAAGACGAAATTGAAGCCCTACATGTTAATTCAACTTGGGAGTTAGTTCCACGTCTTCCAGGTATAAATGTTATTGGCTGTCATTGGGTCTATAAGACTAAATTAAAGCTTGATGGCCATCCTGAGAGACATAAAACTAGACTAGTTGCTAAAGGATATAATCAAGTTGCTGACATTGATTTCTTTGAAACATTCAGTCAAGTTATTAAGCTTGCTAGTATTCGGATTGTGCTCACTATAGCTATTATGTGCTATTGGCCTATCAAACAGCTTGATGTGAAAAAAGCTTTTTTGCATGGTTTTTTTTAAGGAATCTATATTTATGGAACAACTTCCTGGATTTGTGAGTTCAAAATTTTCAAATCATATCTGCAAATTAAAAAGAGCTTTATACAGTCTCAAGCAAGAACCTCGGGTCTGGTTTAATGGCTATTTATTATCATTGGGGTTTTATTGCGGCATAACTGATTCATCTCTATTTGTTTGTTGCACTACTCAAGGCACTATTATACTTCTCCTTTATGTCGACGATATTATTGTTACTGGTGATATTTCAGATCTTTTAGAATGATTCATTTGTCAACTTGGAAGGGAATTTGTAATGAAAGATATTGGACATCTTCACTACTTTCTTGATATAGAAGTATCGTATTTTTCAGGTGGGATTTTTCTCTCACAACGCAAATATGCTCGGGATCTTCTTGATCTTACTCAGATGCTCGGTACCAAACCAATTTCAACACCAATAGTAATGAAAAATAATATTCATGGGAATTCTGATCCATTTCTTGATCCATCTCTTTACTAGAGCATTGTTGGTGTACTCTAATACATTATTATAACATGCCCAGACCTTTCGTATAGTATTAATACAATTTGTCAATTTATGATGCTCTTACAATTGCTCATTTTCAAGCAGTTAAAAAATTCTTCATTATCTCAGTGATACACAATCATGTGGCATAAGAATCTTGTTAGCTAGTTCGCTTGAGTTATATGCCTTCTCTGCTGCAAACTGGGCTAGGTGCCCAACCACTCGTCATTCAACCATTAGTTTTTGTACCTATCTTGGTTCCAACTACATATCTTGGAGTGTTAAGAAACAATCAGTTGTGGCTCGTTTGAGTGATGAAGCTGAATACCGATCTATGACATCCACTACTGCAGAATTGACATGGCTTTCTTTTATTAGTGCTATCTACATGATAGTTAATCATAATTTGCATATACGGACAAAGCACATTGAGTTAGACAATCATTTTGTGCGTGAAATGATTGCTCTTTGATTACTTGTCACTCATTTTGTTTCCTCTCGCAATCAAGTAGTTGATATCTTCACCAAACCTTTTCCACGAGTTGTTTTTCGAGATCTTTGCTTCAAACTAGGACTTCAAATCCCTCCTCAGTCGAGTTTGAAGGGGAATGATAGAAAAGACAATTAAGAAATTTTAACAAAATAGGAAAGTAACAAGATAGGAAAGATAGGAAAGTAGCAAGTGAGGAAAGTCTATATTGCATATGACAATGACAAGATATGAAATGTATATTGCATATGACAAGATAGGAAGGTGTATATTATACCTTTGTATTATTAATATATATACAATGAAAGAACCACCGCAAGATTTGTGGGGGGTATAATTATTTTCTCAAAGAGTTCCTCTCTCTCTCTCTAAACTTTTCAGCGTTCTTATATAAATTCAAAGACCAAATCCTAGCTTGGCTCGCAAACAGTGCTACATAAAGATCCCATACTTTCCATTGTGGTCACATGCCAACATATGTATGTTTCTGTAAGCTGACACAAAATCTTAAAGAAGCATCACTCTAGCCCAAAAATATATGATTTGCGAACCAGATACAATGTTGTCATCTTTGACAGGGTCAAATAACGTAATGGTAGACATCGATACCATTATACATGGCCCAATCAGTCCTTAAAAGGCAAGAGAAATGCATGCTTTAAATATTTAAAGAAAGGAAAGACTTCAAATAACAAAAAGTGCATAGATCAGGAACCAAATTCGCTATTGATCATTAGGGATCAAAATCTTTTTCATTAAAAAAAAACTTTAGGGACGAGTTCAAAGCAACCTTAGTCATCTCGTTTCATTTACATTCTAGTTAGGTTTAAGTAAAACTGAAAAACCTTTGATAAATAGGTAAGGGTACACAAAGTCGTCATAGAAATAGGGGAATACTTAAAAATAAATTCATCATGTAGACATGAGATAGTTGGGTCTTCATTGAGGTCTCGGTCCTTTTGCTTCTTTTTGCTCATTGGGAATGGGGATTCAAGGACAATGTGCCTTTTAATTTGGCTTATTGTCAAATTAATCAAAGAAGGACATGGTTAGCATGCAGCCAGCATATTGTAAAAATGCGTACTTAACAATAAATATATTTTTTAAATATAGTTTGATCCTTGGTCCCCGAAGCACAGCATTCAGCGGAGAAAGATGTTTGAACATATTTTTTAGCACCTTGGTCCCCAATGCAGAATAAAAGAGAAGCTGGTCAATAAAACCCTAACTTATAGTGGAATTTTTGACACTCAGAATTGCCCTAGAACAGGTGGGAATGTTCCTAAGGACTTCAAACCTCATGTGTCAAGTTTCACTGCAATCTGACATGTCTAAGGCAGTGAAGACAAAGAAATAATTTCACAAAAATCAGTCTCTGACACCCTGAAATAGACCCTATAACTGGAACCCTATTTTTGGATCGTCAAATGGCTGTGGGACTACCGCCATTGGTCCTGCAGCCATTGGATCTGGCACCGTCAAAGACCCACAAGGGTCAAGTTTCAGTGTAAACAGACGTTTCAGAACAAAGTTATGAGCAAAATACTAAAAAAGGAGAGGCCGCACGCTATTCCTGTGCGCCCCCCCTGCAGCAATCGCCATTAAAGAAGACCGGTTTTCACAGTCACAAACAACAATTTTTGGGACTCATATCTCTCTCGTCATGAGTCGGGTGCGCTCAAATTTTACGAGCGTGTTCGTCTCATCAAGACGAGCGTTTTGATATGGGCGCGTCACGTGACGATGTCCGAGCAGGGAGAAAATCTAGAGAGAATATGACTATTCGAGATCAAGGTTGCAGGAAAATCAGCAGTAGCATGACCCACTCGAGCGGCCATATCAAGACGATCGCATACCCGATCGACGTAAAAATAGTTGCATTGCGTGCGGAAGGTCCAAGGCTATGTGTGGTCCAAACCTCGTACGTGATGAATAGTTAGATTTGGTGTATGAAGGTGTTAAAGTTGCTGCAAAATTCAGGCCCTATAATTTAAGATCCCGCAAAAAACCCAATATGGTATAATCTTCGTTTGGACACAAAATCGAGCTGCGTTTGTTGCAAATAGATCGTGATGGCATACTCAGCGCAATTCAGCAAAGAAATCAATAAAAGGCATCAAGAAATGAGTGCACCATCGATCAGAAGTTTCCAAGAGTCATACAAATTTCAAGTCGCGTGATAGTGGCCTAAAAACATGATCCGTGGCTCGAAGTTAGTATCAAATTGATCATCATGCCGATCCCAATGAAGAAGTGATAATCGTTTGGTCAAACAAGCACCGGAGCAACCCCGAATCGGCCAAGGAAAATCACACACGTTCCATTGGTGCAGCAGAGACTGTTTTGGAATTTCGCATATTGATGGGCAGGGGCAAAATCATAAATTTGCACCCATTTTTAGATTTTACGTTAATTCAAATAAATTGTAATTATCATCAATTAGGTTAGATTTTGAGCATCCACCCATGTTTTTGGCCCAAGTCTATAAATACCACACTGTACCCCATTGTAAAAGACCTTCAATTCGATTAATAAAATTGAGAGTTAAGCTTTGAGACCACGTCTTGGAGAGAGAGAGAGGAGAGAGAAAAAAAGTCTCATACCCCTCATAGAAGGTAACTTTCTCTCTCTTTCTCTCTTCTCTCTCCTCTTCTTTCTTTCTTTCCTCTTCTTTCTTTCTCTCTCTTCTTCTTCTTTTTCTCTTTCTCTCTCTTCTTCTTTTTTTCTCTTTTTCTCCCTTCTCTCTTACTCTCTCCTCACTCTCTCTCGACATGCACAACAATAAGCATCATCGTGCATGTCTCACTCTCCTCTTCTTCTCTCTCTCCTCTTTTCGCTCTCCCTATCTCTCTCTTCTCTACCTCAAACATGTATAACAATAAGCATCGACGTGCATGTCTCTCTCTCCTCTCTCTTTCCTCACTTCCCTCTCTTTCTCTCTTTCATTTGTCTTTCCTTTTCTCTATCTCTATTCCTTCCTTGCTCTCTCCTCCCCAGTCATGCACCGTGGTGCCCATCGCCGAGCATGACCTCCTCTTTCTCTTGGAATATGCACAGTGAGCCGGGCCTTAATGCTAGTGGCGGGCTGGGCCTCTTTCCAAGTTCCTCTTTCACCATGTTGTGCACGACGATGCTCATCACCGCGCATGACATTTCTTCCCCTATTATCTAATGAGGACATTGAATTGGGCCCTTTTCCAAGTAGTGGGCCGGGTTGTGTCTGAGTGCCTTTTGAGACGCACAGTGATGCCTATTACCGTGCGTGTCTTTTCTTTTCTCTCTCCTGTCTCTCTCCCTCTCATCATGGACGACGGAACCCATCACCGTCCATGTTCTTTCTGTCTCTCTCTTTCCCATCATGGACGGCAGAACCCATCGATGTCCATGTTCACTCTTACCCTCTCTCTACTATCGTGGACAGTGGAACCTATCGCCGTCTATGTTCTTTCTTATTCTCTCTCTCTCCTGTCATGAACAGCAGAGCCTATCACCGTCCATGTTCCTTCTCCTCTTCCCCCTTTTCTCTCTCCTCTGTCATGGACGACGAGACCACATCATCGTCCATGCTTCTATCTCCTCTTTCTCTCTCTTATCTTGGACAGCGGAACCCATCATCGTCCATATTTCTGTTTTTTCTCCCTTCTCTCTTCTTTCTTCTTTCCTCTCTTCTCACTTCTCTCTTCTCTCTTCTCTCTTCTTTCTTCTGTCTTCTTCCTCTTCTTTCTTTCTCTCTTCTCTCTTTTCTTTCTCATCTCCTCTCTTCTTCCTCTTGTTTCTCATCTCCTCTCTTCTTTCTCTTCTTCCTCTCATTTCTTTCTCTCTTCTCTCCCTTCTTTCTCATCTCTTCTCACTTCTCTCTTCTTCCTCTTCTTTCTTTCTCATCTCTTTTCTTTTTTCTCTCTTCTCTCTCTTCTTTCTTATCCCTTTTCTCTATCTTCTCATCCTCTTCTTTTCCTCGGCTTTTTCTCTGTTTCTTTCTCTTCTTCTATTCTCTTATTTTTCTTCTCACTTCTCTTCTCTTCTATTCTCTTCTTCTCTTCTTCTTCTTCTCTCTTCTCCTCTCTTCATCTTTCTTCTTCTCTTCTTCTTTCCTCTATTCTCTTCTCCTCTCCTTCTTCTCTCTCTTCTGTCTTCTCTCTTATCTTCTTCTCTCTTCTCTTCCCTCTCTTCTCTTCTTCCCCTCCCTTCTCTTCTCTTTTTCTTTTCCCTTCTTTTCCCTTCTTCTTCATGCTCTTATGTCTTCTCTCTTATCTCTCCACTCTTCCTCTTCTTCCTCTCTTCTCTCCTCTCTCTTCTCTTCTTCTTCTTTTCCTCTCTTCTCCTTCTTCTCTCTCAATACTCTTCTCTTACTTCTTCCTCTCTTTTCTTTTCTTCCTCTCTTTCTTCTCTCACTTCTTTCTTCTTCCTCTCTCATTTGACCAAGGGACAGGTTACGTCTAGCACTATCATGGTAGTCTCGTCGTTGATCAGTATTATCGTTGTGCCGATCTGAGTTACCTTGCTTGTCTTACTGCCACGTCAGTGCTCGGCTGGTTGGTGTTGGCTATGTGGTCGAGTAGTATTGCAGCTGTGTCGCTCTGAGTTACTGTGCCCATCTTACTACCACTTTAGGTCAATCATCATACTGGTCTAGCCACTGTGTCAGGCTAGCCACCTGGTCAAATGTCTTTTCTCTTCTC